AGTCAAGTGGGAGGTCTGTTGTTGTAGACTAGTAATGGAGGTAGCACTCAGATGATGGATTTGAGTGGAAGCGTTAAAACTCCACATCAATGTTCCAAGAATTCGCGTTGGAGACTCGGCTAGCGGGCGACTAGCGAAACAGGCGTGTATAATGAGAGTACTGCAGATCTAACTATAAATTATTTTAGAGAGGGATAACGTGAAGCTCAATGTAGATGGGTGGAGTGGTAATTATTTCAGAATGTAGCTTGTATTCAGAAGAGGTGGTGAGGGTGCCGAATGAAATCTCAGGTCCGCGATTCGACGGAAAACTTCGAAGCTTCTGGCAGAAACTCGACACAAATCGCCCAACAACCAGTATCAGTGGTATGTTTTGATGATACAATCAATGCAGTGTGGCTGCAATGAGTGCACAAGGTAATTTTCGTTTGGAGGGGTCATTTAATATGAGCACAAAACACGAACGGTGCAGAGGCAGCCTTGTCTCGATGGTACGGTCCGCGAAAACGAAATGCAGACTTAACGAAAAGGTCAGCACTTAATTGATAAGTGTTTCTCATGGGACAAGTGCAGTCATTGTATACAGCACCTCAAGGGAAGAATTGCACATCTCACGCCCACTTTTGACTTCGCTCTCGGCATCCGTGCTTAGGCTTACATTTAATTTATCTTAGAAAGTGCTCAAAGTAACAACATTCTATGAATCTAGCAATTATGGAATTCCTAACACCCTATGGCGTATTTACAGCCGGCAAACATTTTGTAGAAAGTACGGGGTAGGACTCGCGCGTATCTTTTGCATGCGACTTGTCTGACTTAGTTGACTAGCTGCGAGCCGGTTTTTCTCGACAGTTTCTTCCAAGTTTAACAAGAGAGCGTGTAGCAATGTGTCCTGTCTGCAAAGGATGCTTTCATCTTGATTTCAGTAAAGGAGTTGGCACTACGAAAGAAGCCACCGATATCACAAACAGCTTGATGCATCATTCTAGGGCGATAGAAACGGTCGGCTCTTCTACTCTACTTATCTTTCTATTATTACCACCCCCACTTGTTAGTAACAACTAGGGTCTCAGCTTAGAAATGAGACCTTCTTCTTTCCTCACTCGTAGTATCGGTAGCCTACTAAAAGTATCAGCTCATCTTTCGGCCTGGCCAGCATTCTCCATGAGAACTACTGCTGGTTGAGATCCATCCATTTCTGTGAATAGTAAGTCTGACCAGCGAAAAAATGGAAGGTTACCTGGGGGCCCTATCCATCTATTATCATGTCATCAATTACAAAACTTCCTAATATTCTAAACCATGGCTTCTGTTCAGTCCACCTGGCTTTATCTGATTATGGCTGCAATTTGTACAGTTTAAGTGCACTTTTCTAATGACTCACCACGACTGGTAATTCATGAGTGAAATTAAAGGTCGACCTTGTCCCGCTTAATCCTTCAATGTCCTCTCGTCTTGGATCTTGAGACGAACATTCGGAATGGAATTGCTCTTTACGGAATTGGACTCTCTCCGCGCTGGGAACATTGCAACTTTGCGGTTGAGATCATTTATTTCGACGACCCTTTTGCTTTGATTATTGACACTCCCCCGCAGTAGCGTCAAAATAGTATGCGCATTTCGCTTCTAAGTTTTGCGCTTCCAGAAATTCTTATGCGTTTTAACATTCGTAGAAAATTGATCTTGTGCTTCTAGAACAATTGATCATATTGGTGCCTTTGTGAACTCAATAAAGCTTCTATTTTGGGGAGAAATGTCGTCGGTGAAAGACGTTAGAACGGTGAAAGGTGCTTAGTATTTGATATCATGAAGAAGCTATGGGCTTCTGTTAAGCATGTAAATACCTTAGACAAAAGTCATCCACCTGCGATTTTTACTGCAAGTGCATTATCAATCAGCA